CATTTGTGCCGAAGAAACCCGGAGTGTGACACGTTCGTATAAAAACAAGATTTTGATGGTAACGGTTCGACAATTTTCGAAATATACCGATAACTAAATCCTGTAATATCCTGGAGCTGCCTAGCACCCCGGCCTGGCAACCCAGTCTGGCACCCATTTCAGGAAGTGGAAGTTTCTCTGAACACGCTTTGAGCGTGTACAGTCATCATTGTTGTGAAAAACATTTTCGTGTGTGCAATAGTCCGGGAAATTTTGTTTTAACAAAATAAAAAGGTGTTTAGAGCGACTACCGTTGTCTTTAATCAGCTTCGAAAGTTTTCAATATTCAATATACTCTGCCATTGAGGGACTTACACTAGCTGACACTAAATCATTCTTCAGTGCAACGGGATATCTGTTCGTTTAGCTCAGAAAATGTACAAAACTGCCCTTTTTAGGGCCACCACATCCTCCAGAAAGAGATATACCGTGTTTTAACGAGGGTAACAATTTGATTTAGCTATAGGTCCGTTGCTCTTTTTTGTGTCGGCGTTTAGTCTTTGTGGTTGTTTTTTAGTTGGTGTCATCAAATTTGTTATTTTCAGACATTAGGATTTTTATCGACACAGAAGAACTATGCCCCCTATAAACTAGCCTACTAGCCTAACACAAATGTGCGTCGCCAATACAACATTTACCGTCACGGATTTATATTACGTGCACTGGACGGTTGGGCGTTATGTTTGCTACAATGTATTTGTTTATCATAATTGTCTACCCTACTAACCAAAACATAACCGTTTACAAAGCCTGTCGCTGACACTGGGACACGTTTCGATCTGACTAATTTCACGCAATTGTGACGTTTGTTGTAATAAGGTTACACGCAAAATCCAACAGTTTACGTCTTTGCGCCTCATAATCTACTTTTTACTTTATGGCGAGATTCAAGTCTTACCCAACTTTTTACTCATTTATGCCATCATTATTAAACGATTTGTCTACAATATACAAGCTGAATAACATCGAAAACACGATTGCATCACTTAAGCATCACCATATTACTGATGGTCTTCAAGGGTCACTCGAGCAAACTAACGAGCTATACTGATTTTTATCTTTAAAAAAGTGACTTCCACTATAATAAAAATTGTTTACATATCATAATGTCCACATTTCAACAGCATACAAAAAGTTAGCGCCAATTTTCGTATCAATATTTAAGAGCCTAATTTGAACAATAACTCATGATAAACTACACAATACTTTATTCAATCTCAATATCCATGAATAAATTACAATAATGTATTGAAACTGTCAGAGCGACAAGCAGTACAAAGAATCATTTATTTTCCTCTTGATCACATTGCCTCGCATCAGTACATTTACTCAAACGGAAGGAAGAAGAACGGTCATAACACACTAAGCAGAGTATAGCCTGAATGCCTTTTTGTGAGGAGGAGAATATACCACACATCTAGAATGTATTTCTCAACCAATGAGAAGATTTGCATTATGTGTCCCGGTGGGCATTATCCGGTTTTCACACTGCCAATTTAGTTCTGGATCAGCCACTTTGGATTTCAATACACAAGATTGAAATGTCTGCTTTGAGCAATCGCAACCCCTTACAGACTGAGTGTATTACTAGGATTTCAGAAAGTGGAATCTAACCAGACGTGTTCTATTCAATTATGTCAATCTTATAAAACATTCTTATAAAGTTTGTGTCCCCGTCTAATTACCAGCGCATTGCTAGAATATAGTTTCACGACTCACTCTCTTGCGATTATTGGGGATATAAAATTTGTGATCGAATAACGTGAGGCACCAAGTTATTATCGGTGTCGAAGATTATTTTATAAAATTGTATGTAACAGTCATATTCTTTGATAATGGTAAATTATAAAAATAACAGAACGTGTCAGGGTCTAGTTTGAACTAACTTATTATCTTATTGTTTTATTTTTATCATTTTTAATTGATTATTATTCTCACATGTATGTTGTATTCATAGTGTGTGTTCCATGACGTTACAACACGAAAACGCATTTACAATTGAAAATTACAAACAAGTTTGAACACAAAATTCTATTATTCCTTTTCCTTGATCTATGTTATCATCGTTCAACTTTAACAGCGTAAGTCATGCCAGAGTAAATCCCCCATGATATCAAACAAGTTGCTAAGGTCGTCCAATTATACAATAGCAACATAACGCTAATTGAGCCCATATCTGTTTTGCATTGAACAAGTTATTTCCAACATATTGCAGCTGAACATAAACAAACGTATAGTGTAACAATCTGTTATCACTGAAAGAGATTTTTTTACTAATGCATGTGTTTCCTGTAATGGGCAAACAGATTAAAATGTAATCGGAAGTAAAATCTACATGCCCCGGAGTCATCTCTTTTAATAAATGTGTAAAACCCATATCAATACAAGGCATAGGAAAAGACGACTCAATTTGTTTCGTAACGTTCAATCCTGGTCATCACGTTTTTGGGCGTCAGTTCGGCGTCAAGGTTAACTACATGTGACATGTGAGTTTAATTTTAAAATTTTATTACAATATAATCAATAGTAGCTTGTGAAATCTAATTTCGACTCCAGAAAAATATCCAAGAACACATGGATTGATAGTGTCAGCGTAGTTGAATTACACAAACCATTAGCCACACAAACAAACAGTGTATTTCGCCTCCTAATAATTAATTATGTAGAATATGGAGTAGCAACCCTGGGCTAGACAAGGCGACATTGTTTTGTACGAACATGATTGCTCTCTTCAATGGAGCATACATGATGAAATGGCGATAAATTGTTAACCATATAAGGTGACAAGTCTCCTGTACTGCTGAAATAAATTAAGTCGGCATGCTTGCATTCCTTTGGGTTGAACGAGATAAACACAATACTATTCTACAAGAGATGGGGAGATTTAGCTTTCAGTTTCGTTTTCTATGAAGAACTTAGTTATGACACCATCCCTACAACATTCCATGTTTGTTATTTTATTTGTTTTGAATGTCGGTAAATCGTAGTTTTGTTCAATTTGTTTTGTAGCTGTAATTGTCGAAAATTATGGGGCCAGATCGCTTTATGATTTTCTTTTATTCAATCATTTATTTTAACCGTTATGAACACTCTCTAATGGCAAGTGATTAGTGATGCAAGGTTTAGTGTGTCCACTCATCATCAGGGATTGTAAGTTCGGATCTCGTAATGTTCCTGTCAGGCCAATTCTAGTCACTAAAACGACTAATCTTAAATTTTCGTCATTCGTCATGGGTATTTCTCATCGCCGCATAAGACGAAATATAGTTGGGTGGATGACAAAAACATATGCAGTTCTATATTGTTGATCGTAAACTTAAATTCTTGCTTTTGCAGTACACTGTATAATATTCGACCCGCAAAAAAGAATAAACATGTCCAGTCATTGCTATTGTATGCACCATAATAATCAACGCATTGGTTATTATAGAATACCTTTGTCTCATCACGTGAATCGTCAGTTTTGTGATAATTTGCATATTGAAGTTTATTGCACAAATGCAGGCTGGCACGTTTATTTCTGTGTCTGTAATTTTGTTAACGCATCAAACCGCATGATGTCGAACGTTTGTGTTCAATAAATCACAGAAAATCAAACCTATTTTTCATACTGCACTCGTTACAGAAAAAAAACAGGCAAGCCCGCCGGCAACTGTGATTTGATTTGCAGAGTTTTACATGATTATCTATAGCAGGCTTAAATGTAGTGTGAGTCATGATAAATCGAGAAATACGGAATCTATCTAGGTGATCGAGCATGTGGTCCGTCTTATATGACATCAAGATGCAACTTCCCAGACTTACGTCTCAAATGCCACGATTTACATCTCTAGTCTAATTTGAAGCTGACAACATGCATTACGTGCGTTCGCCGACATATTGCTTCAATAATTCATCATTGAAATATACGTTCTTTTTTTATAATATATGACATTTTAATTTAACAAGCAGTAATTTTACATGATGTTACTTACACAGAAGACACGATTTATTTCTCACTCTACTCAATAACGTTTAATTCATCAGTAAAATTTTATTTAGAAAGATCGTAATAGCAATGGCGCTAAAATAACTAATGATTACACAAAAAGCGTGTTGTCTATTTGGGCTTACTAATACGTTTCTACGTCATTTTGACGTCACTTTGTTGCTAGGTTGGGAATCTACACTGTGTTCAAGTGATATAAACATCAGTCAATAACCAAATATAAAAATCACGATCTTGTCACAGATGAATATTATTTTTTCAAACTACAGGATCGTTCCGGTGTTTATTATTCTTCTTCAGAAGCTTGTTCAACACAACTAACCTAAAATCAACGCAATATTCCATGGCAAAATGAGTAAAAGAACATTCATATACATTTAAAAGGAAGAAACCTAACGTCAGAACAAGCTAAAAACAACATTCTTGTGTACGTCACATACCAAGCTTAGTCGACAAATCATTACCATTGAAAAATTGCGTAATCAAATGATGACATAAGATTATTAAAATCTATAAATAACACAAATACTTCTTCAGTCAAGGATTTGAATAACTTATTTGATACAATACAAAGAACATGAATGTCACTTCCACAAAAATCAAAATGTATTTTGAATGATAATGTTTGATTTCCGTCTCCACGTTTTTACATCCATGATATATATTTAGACGCTTACATTAAATATAAAATCGCCCGTTAAATATAAATAATAATTATATATACATAATAATATATATACTTAAATACACTTGTAACGTATTCCATTATTTTAATGCAATATAATTATATATATAATTTATAGCACTGGTAAATATCTAAAGAGCAAATCTTCATCGAAATAAAAATGGCAGGGAACTAAATTTAGATAGCACTACATTACAGCGTGGTATACTCATTCTATTTTATACGCGTATTCAGTTGTATTCTATTACAATTGCCAGCATGTATATTCCTGTAAATCGTGTATGTAATTCATACAACATGCTCCACAAATTCTCCTTTCCGTTGAGACCAGGATGGGATTAGCAATGTCGACGTTACCCTGCTGTTCATCGATCTGTGGGATGCACCCGAAGACATTGAGATAGTTCGCCTCCTTCCATCCTTTCGTTTCCGTTTATTGTTCCCATTTCTAACACAATTTACTAACCGCATCAAATCTTCCTGAAATAGACATACTCAACACATGTTAGTGTTTCAAGATATATTGAAGGATTTAGCATAGGCCAGGAAATTAATATCAGTTGCAGTGAATGGTCTCACGCTATCAACATCTATCAAGTGTGCGGCTCTACATTAAGCAGTTTGTGATGACGTTCGACATGACGCCAAATAATGCAATGATAATTAAATCGTAACGTACGATGCATCGTGTATAATTATTTAATAGTACAAGTATGCACCGTGACAAGAACAGAAAACCTGCTGTTAAATGTATAAATTGATGTGCAGAAATTAAACCTTAGACTAATCAAATTACAAAAATATAGTCAGGATGATGATACATTGATACAACAGATAATGACAATAAATCTATTGGAATCAGACACTTCGTACGCAATCAAATTCATATATGACATCACACTATGACATAATACCAATTACAAACTATTACTATAATTTACAACATTCAATTAAACTAATAGTTGAAACATTAAACATGGTATTTCGTTTCAATAATGGAAGTCATATACATTATACAACGTTAACTGGATGTTTTATAATTGTATATACAATCTCCCTAAAGTTGTATGGTATTCAAATTAATATTGGTTGAGTTGTTTGTGCATCTCTTTCAAAATTATTTGTATACAAGTTCTGTGCAATCTGTTACTGAATATATATTTCATAGCGCGTGACGTAAAACAAACCAAAACTAGTCCATCCCATGAACACACATATGTAATAAAAACACATGGGTATTGTGTTAACTTACAGAAATGTAATCAAGTATATTAATCATACTGGAGTATGCCATAAATGAAATGTAATTATTGAAATACAGAAATGTGCGTACTCTTTTGGGACTAATGTTTGTAATCGGTAGTTCGTAATATATGGGATTATAATACATCTGTCACCGTAACGCCATAAGTTGCAGCGTGCCGTAATTTTGCGGTATTTTACGGGGTAATTGTATCCTACCATGTTAGGGAATGCGAATTCCAAATATGGAATGATTACGCGCGTAAGGGTCCTGTAATAATAAAAACAAACATGGCTGCCACACAAAGAAGTTCGCTGATTCTGTTCTAAACTTTTTAGATTTCTGCATTCCCATGGTGTAATTTTGGGAGGAAAAGATGTATAATAATAAGGTTATTACGAAGATACCTAAAGGTATGCACGAAGACAGTACAGCGGCAGTATCGACCGACGCGCAGTGTGGGTAATTTTCTAATATGTTCTCTTCATATCTAAGCTGTATTCTGTCAGAATAAATATATATAAACATAAAAATAAATTGATGTCAAGTTTAATTATTTATGATTGGACATTAATGAAATTTTGTCCATAACTAGAATCATCCTGGGAAATCATTTCCAGTACATACAATTGCGTGGATTCCATACCATAAATTGATAAATTGATTTGCCGGGAATTGCAAAATACGAAAACTTGCTTATTTGTTCGCGTCATCTTTTACCGAAACGGTAATGATGGATAAATTTCATCCCAACATGCCATTTAGCCTACGGTATTGGTAACATATAGTATACATCTGACAGCAAAAGCAAAAGAATTAATTTTGTGCGTAATAACCCATCTATCTAGACGTGTTCAAAGGTGGTACCTACGAATTAGAATGTGTTTAGTTGTTTGGAAAATGCGCATACACGTGTTATCCATCTGTAGCAAGCACGATCATAGTAACATGTACATTCGCTGTCATTTCGTACAGATATCCATAAATATAGTGTGTCAACCGGCAGGGACATATATATGGATCTGAGCTGGTTAAAATAAAACCCCATTTTTTGGATAAAATATATTTTATTTTATTATAATTGATTATTATTTGCAATTTGCTAATAGGTCTACAAGTTTCGGCAATCGCGATAAACTACAAAACAAATTTCTAAATAATATATATAGAAAAAAAATGAAATGAAATATAGTAAATAAAAAACAACACATGCGTAAAATGGATTAGAATTTATTCAAATTGATTATGTAGTTAATTTGCACCAACCGACGATACCGTGAGATAACGGAACTGCCTTCGAGCATATTTTGCAATATTACAGTATTATATCATATTATAGACAGCTGGTCACTTACCCGGAATGTCTCATTCAAGAATGTATATATAATAGGATTCAAGAAACTGTTCGCCATCGCCATCCAGAAACATGTCAGATAGATGGTGATTATCACATCATGGTAAACCGATTCTCTCAAATATCGCTGGTTAATGGTTATTACCATATTAAATATATTCAGAGGTAACCAACATAGTGCGAATGCTAGGACTATAACGGACAGCATCTTTATAATCTGAAAATGGAAAGGTATATGTACTGCATAAGATCAGATTGATAAATACGCAACTATATATCAATAATTCGCAACTATCTTATCAATAAATAAGAATATTACTGTGAACTAAATTCACACTAAATATGAAATGTTAACTGTACGCGGATAAATGCACTCTTTTAGCGACGTTTGACGCGGAAACTGTGTTCTGTTTTGAAAATTTTAAACTTTGTGAACATAAAAGTTTGAACGACATGCATGTTTGAATACTATTAATAATGGTTTCACGCTTCAATAATGATTAGTACAAAACAAATCCCACATTTCTTGTAAATGCAACAACCATTATTACTTTCAACGTTTTTTTTTTTTTGTTGTTGTTTTTTTCAGTTTTATTATTATGTACATGTTTGATGCATTGTTAGTTAATTAGTTAAACAACACATGCATAACAGTCATTTGGCGTGTTTTAACATAGTTGTTTATTTTATCCGCTGGTGTGCCATATGAAGTTACTAATAGTCATTGGTAAAGGTTATAGGCGTGAGAAATGTGTTTTGGCAATTACTGGATAAAATTGATTATGTGTGTTAATTTTGCGAAATTGTTTAATGCTCTGTGAATGACAAGGAATAATCACCAAATGCTATCTCTCAATCACACAAATAATACGATATAATAGTCTTACGAATGGAGCACCTAAATGCCAAATACACAGCGTCATTGAACATAATTATGTTTACTTTTATAATTTTTTAAATTATTTTTTTTAATCAATTAATTCGTGCATTATGCTACTTGGAAAACGTACAGTCATTACAAAACGGAATATACATCATACCATGAATTTATTAAATCTTCCCTGGAAGGAAAATTACAATATTTGATATTAGTTTCATTATTATTGTTGTTTTTCCGCTAGCGATGTAGTATGTTGGGTCAAGTTCATTGCAAAAACAATCTTACTTTGCTACATTCTATGTAATTTTGGCAACTCTTCAATTGCATTTCACAGGTATGTAAGTAGTTTTATTATAATTTTACGGTTAGCTGGTGAGATAGTCTGCTGATATACGTTTTTTTCAAGATTCAATTATGTTAATTTGCACACATGAATGTAGCCGCCATATCGATTTCGATCCCACTGTACACAAACTTCAAACATATCGAATCGCACGAATGACGTATTTGCAGTGCCCATACACGGCAAAGTAGAACTTTGAGGGACCTCGGAAATAGACAATTAGAGCGTGACAAATTGAATATGCTAAAAGTCAAAGCTAACACAATTACGATTAAATTATGTTTGAATATTTTAAAAGAAAATTCAATAACGCCCAAACATACATCAAAAAGGGTAGTGCTACGATGTGTACCGAAACCTAAAGAAGGAGAATACAGGATTTGTTTTCTATAATGGCATATCTGAAACAAACTACCTGCACATTTAGAAAAACAAATAATTGACAAAACTCATTTTAAAAAGCTGTACAAAATTGAAACAAAGTAAAAATAAGTAAATTGCAACTTTAAATGTGAGTATAACATACAATCCATAAGTATATATTTTTAATTAGTTGTACCTATTTGTGTAACTTATAACTAACAATAATATATTTAATGGCTGTTGTAAAGTACCTGACTTTTGATGTCCCTACTGGAAATAAGTTGCTATGCGACTTTTGTGAACATGCATCGTACTGTACATTGCAAATAGCAAGCATTGTAGTATTATAGGATTATATAGCATTATATGACGTGCCAACAATTGGACATGACATTGATTATTTCAAATCATTGCACCTTTTCGTACCTTTTTCTTTGCAATTAGTTGTGAGACGTCTCTATCTCCCTGTGCGTTGCCTGGAAGCGTTCTTCTCCATAGTATAACCCCTGTTACACTGTACGCCCAGATCAATACGCCGAGTGGAATCACGTAAACAACACACAACATGAATACATCATAAACGATAGCTGTTCCGTCATTTTTCCATTGTTCGTCACATTGGTAATAGTGTTCTCCTGTAGATGACTCTTGTGGCATTACCCTGGCGTTTACCAGTGGTCCGATCGATATGACAAGTGATAACACCCAAATAAAAATCAATATGAACTTTGTTCGACCTGTAGCCATTCTCATCTTAATCGGTTGAGTCACTGCGTGGTAACGATTAATGCCAATGGCAGTCAGGGTAAAGATACTCACTCCTACAGACGCCTGTGAAGAGATCGATTTTTTTATTTGAGTATTCATAATAAATATATTAATGTGTTAAAATGTTTGCATTACACTATTTCATATAACTTATAAATCAGAATATTAGCAAATTGGTCTTCTACTCAGTAAGACAAAATCAATAAAACATTTCTACATCTATTCCGGGTTTTGTGGATTTAGGATTGTTATCACTAATACTTTTTTCATCATCTAATATATAGGTGCAATTATATAAACAGTATAAATAAATACAACCAATCAAAGATTTTTTTTACATTTTATAAGTAAGATAAATTTAATAAATTTTGCCTAGCAATTGTGTTCTAGTAAAATTATTTGAAAAAAAAGTAATCAGTATTCTACACCTTCAGGAATTTCAATCAAAAACCTTCGTCTTCAAAACATGGGGTAAATTTAATGGATTTAGTTGAGAAATAACACCAGAAATGTCAATCAAAATATTGCATATTATGAGTGTGTGAATTACGGGTAAACTAATGAAAATCGTTTATGATGTTTGGAAATGATCGACTGAATATGGAGAACATTTTTGTAATATTACTTTATTCCCGTGGTGTAATAGTATTACCAAACATTTGTTCTGCTGATAATATTACACTGCACATCACAGTACAGTCGGTATCCGAGTACATACCCACTAAAATACGATCACCACTCATTAAGTAATTGTGGCGCGTGAAATTTAATAACTAATAAATAATGTAACATCTCAAATCAACTGCTGTTAGTTTTCACCTTTCCATGAAAAAAAGTCTGAATAATTGCGTGTGATTTGATGACATGATGTAACCCTGAGATGTTAAAAACTCAATCACAATCGAATCCACACAAGTGCTCGCCGATGTTCGCCAAGTGGCAAAATATCTTTTGAATGCCTTAGCTGCTACATTTCTTACAATACACATACTACTCGACATGTCAAAGGCTTCCATCACAATTTTGCCGACAGTACAACTTTAATTTTCTCTTTTACAGAGTCTAGCATGTTTTATGTAATACAATCCAGTGTCCACACATTACTTGATTTTATCAATGCATATTTTGTGTGTCTTGTACTCATGTATATATTGTTTGTATTTTTGTCAGACACTACAGCAATTGCCGCATTACCGTGCGGCGGAAATGTAATTGTCGATGTATATACATAATGATAGACACATAATCATATACAACTTTCAAATACTTTGGGTGTTATGAAAATGCCATTAATTAAATCATTTGATAGACTAGATAACTGACTAACTAGACAAAAATGTGTACCTAACTGTGTACATGCGCAGTACGCGCGTACAGCTTCAAGCTAGCATAACAGAGTAGTCTTCATGAATATGTCTCATATTAGTAACATTGGTATCTACAAAAACTTTTTAAAAAGTTTTAACTAAACCTAAACACTGTAAAGCTTGGGTGTATGATTTATAAGAATACAATTATGCCTAAGTTTAAATGGTAAATGTAAACATATTACAAGGAATCTGTATGCCAATACTGTTATTTTAACTTTGTAAGTAAACATGACTGGTCACAGACTTGATTTACATTCAATCCCTTCACTAGTCCCGGATTAGGAATCTGTCTGTCTTCAAAATTGGTAATATCTAAACAAGGTTGCAGGCAATCAACCTCCTAAATCTCCTGGAAATACTTAGACTTTAATATTCACTCCACAAGTGGTGGTAGCAGAAAATAGTACAATAGGCTAAGGAGTAATTTCCTAATTGATGCACATTAGCAAATATATCAATTAAATACATTTGTGAAAAATCTTACAGAAAAAAAAATATGTTTATCACTAACTCTGTATTCACTTTAAGTCATACGTTGCCATTGTTCACAACATAAAACCCATATTCCTTCTATATACATTCTTGCAACATTTTGGGAAAAGCCAATTGAAAATTATGTCCTTTTGGTTCTAAATTATCAGAACAAATTGTTACTCAAATAAAATTGTGACGGAAAAGGCCACTCAAAGTATTGATGAGATATATAACATATTTCACATATAGATTTTATTATTGTTGTAGTGATTCTGTGATGTAATGTTTCTGTCTTATTACTTATATATGATAATTTGTCTATCCGAAATCTTGCACCCTGTATTATGAGTAAACATTCTTCTCTAATTTCAAGAAAAGACTGAGAAGGGTGGTTTTATTTTACTTTAACAAATGAGCAAAAATACACGGATTTAATCTCGACTGAGGACATTTGAATACATATATTTACAAAAGTCGATTGATATGTTTATAAGTAACTACTTATACATTTACAACCCCAAATAAATTGACCATTGCCCCATGGGAATGATTCTCAGTAGTTTTGGCGAACGTCACGTTTTGGGTATTAAATCCAAGTTTAAAAATCCCTACACTCAAGAGGATGTTATCTAAAGAATCCACTCAAGTTCAAGGATTTCAATCAAAATTGTTCACTCTAGTTCAAGGGTTTCAAATCTTCCACCTAAGTCGAAGGGTTTTGACCGAAAATCTTTCTCAAGTATGAGGTCAATATAGATGTGAGATTATACCATTATCATGAGTACTCGTTATAACTCCATGAACTTCATTATGACTGCAAATAAATATAGAAAGAATGGTTAAATCCATTTTTTTCATAAATACAATTTTTCAGTCATATTCATTGAACTGAAATGTTTTAAATTAGGTGATCTTTACAAAACGAATGAATGTACAAAACATTTTGTGTTTTGTGTATTCATTTATTTTGTAAAACAAATGTTGTATGTTTGTTCGTGCCAAAAAACCATTTAAACCGTCGCAAATACATGCACATCGAATATTTTAGCAAGTTTAAGAATATTAGCTTTAATAAGCACAGTGTGAAATCCGTTTCATGCGCATACAAAACTCCCTCGATTTTCAGAAAGACAATAGTGCTGTAAAACCGTGGGTTTCACAGAAATAATTGAATAATAATAGTCAACAAGTCAGATTACGGAAGACGGAGCAATTTGCATTGGCGGCTCACTTGCTGTCATACCCATTAGAACTGTATAAGAACATTATCTCAAAAACGAGAACTCATTACAGTAAATGTCACCGATGGTTCAATTTGTGTATAGTGTACCCCGGGGAATGCGACTTTACTCTTCAACAATATTGTTAATGTATTTTTTCGACAACATCTATCCTAGACGAATCCTGGAGGCACTGTGAGCGTTATACCATTGATTATTTAAAAAATCACAATTAATGTAACCATAAAATACTAATAAACAATCAGATATACAGAAAACACATATATTAAATAGATAATAAATCTTAAGGCTGACATGTCTATGAAAATGACATACCTTTCAGAACCAATAGTCTAAAATCTTGTTTTCAAATTAACATTCACCAGTGGTATATGTATAATGCATTGGACATACAAAAATATTGATGAATCAATCTTTACATCTCAATGATATTGAGGTATTCTAGTGCGGAGTTATGTGTATGAAAATTAAGATTTGGCACAGCGATATCGTATTCCCTACAGGGAATATACAATTAGTAAACATCACTGGCAGTGTATACATACTAACAAAATTAGGTCTTAAGCATAGTGTTATACTTTTACCTATTCCATCGAAGCAGATTTAACGTATTGTGTTCTGAAAATTTTGTTTTGGAAAATTTCAATAAATACGTCTACTACATTAGTTGTTACTAATTAAGAGTTTCTTCACATTGAGGGTACTTTACGAGCGCATATATTACTGCAGTGTTATAGTAGATGAACAAGTCAATTGATAATGAAATTTAAAAATTCCAAGATCGATACAAAAAATTATTTAGAAAATGGTAATAGTAATAATGCTAATGCCATTATTTTAGTAGTAAATGACTAGATGTTTAGTAATGCTAATGCGGAAACCTAGCATAGTGTAAAACCACTTTAAGATTTTTTTAATCTACAAAATTGGCCGTTAGGTAATGTCTTGGACACACATTGGTAAGACTTATTTACTACTATATTCGCCTTTATATAGCTTATGATGATATAGCTTACATTTACTCCCGTTGTTCCAGCAGTTCATTGAGTGGAGTCTGTTCCATCAACCGGGCCACCCACATTTATCGCATTGCATTCGCAAAAGATGGATTGCCATTTTATTTTGTTAGGCATTTGATGTTCATAGATGTGTCGGACCAAGCATACACAGATAATGTTGAATTTTAAATGTATCTTTACATACAAAATCAAATATCCTTTGGAGAAATGCAAATTGAATGATACATTCATATGTATCATATGTATCGTATCTCATATCATGAGAGGCAAGAATAATCGCGACTTAGTCCTACAAAACAGAGATGTGAAATTCATAAAAACAAAACCTCAATGTTAACAATGAACTGATGAATGAATATCTTGAATAATATTACTATACAGAAATAAAGTTCAGATTGCACTTGATATGATGACCTTATTACTGAAAAAACAGATAAAATAATAGGGAAAAATGTGTATGGCATGATGCTCCTCTCAGTTCGTGGACTGACCCTAATACATGTTAGTGTCAATCGTTATATCGAAATTATTTATTACCCAATAAATTTACTAGGATAATTTCACGAATTGTTGCCTGTC